CAGAAACAAAGGACGTAGATAAAACATTTTAATAAGTTTGTCCCATATTTGTTGCCAAGGAGTTATGTTCTGTCAGCATAATTTTTGTTTCTCACTTATTGTGTCATAAGTTTCAAACCCCATTTTTTACATCAGAAAGCTGCTTTGTTTTAGAGACTTCAGAAATTTGTTTTGGCAATTGATGAGATTTCATAGTGCTTACAACACGGTATTACTTAGAGGAGGAAAAAAAAAAAAAAACAGTTTGATTTCAATTGTAGTGCTACAGCACTAATTTGATTTCAATTTTACGGTAGAAAATGTTTATTGGCATTTCAAATTTCACATACCTGGAAAACAAGTTCCTGCTGCTTCTCCTCAACTCATCTGCTGCTCAAACTCCATCTTTCTGCAAAATATCATAATTTTTTTGGTGATTGATCTCCCGATCTCAGGCACCTTCTCTTCCTTTGTTTCAACTTTTCACCCACCTTCAATCTGAACGCTCCCAGACTCAATCAACAAATATACATCGGTTGACCCCTGTTGATCTTTGCTTTCTCCCAAAGCTTCTTCCACTATTTGTCCGACCGACGTCCACCTGTCTGAATTCGAACTGCTGCTAGACTCAACTGACAAAATCAAGCAAGAGTTGATCTCGAATGAGTCAGAGCAGTTCGAATCCAGACGGACAGACAGTTAGTCGGAAGCAGTAACGATTGCAAAAACTAGGGTTGCAGCGGAATTTGGCTGAAAATATCAGAAGAGAATTTCAGAGTAAACTTAACCAACAAAAAAAAAAACAAATCCTCGATGAAATTGAAGATGTTGTACAGGAAATAGAAATCGCTTTGTACCTAACGAAAGCGACTGCCCATCTACTCAAACAATAAAAGCCATCCCATCAAAGAAACTCGAAAATTTCTTTTCCTCCATTATTCTTAAACTTTAAGAACTCTGACTTCCGGATGAAAACAAAGGGAAAGAACAAAGGAATCTAACGAGGAAACCGGAAATTGTTTCAGAAACTTTGTAAAAGCCTGGATTATTTATTTCCCGGAAGTAAAGAGGAAAATTGAATAAAATTGCAAAAGCAGTGTGAAAAAAGGAAAAAGAAAAACCGGTGTGTTGAATGAATGGATGCTGGATTGCATGGGCCGAGAGCACTGCAGAATTGGCCCAAATGTAAGTTAAGCTGGTGTTGGGCTAAAGAAAGTGGACCAGATGTTTGGGCTCGTGTCTCCGCTGAGAGCCTGAGACGTATCATATAAGCGACTACAAGAGCCTATGCGCGTCCAAATCAATTCCCGGAACTCGGAGATCCGGCGGCGGCTTCATAACAAACTTTAATTTGCATACGGTGATAAAAGGAAAAAGAACCAGAGCCAGAAGTTGGCGGAATTTGCATCCCTTCCTTTTCATTCTTGATCAATGGCGTTTGGGTGCTGTCCGAATTCGGACAGCCGGACGGTGTCTAAAGGGTGGAAGAAGTTTTGGGAGAAAGTGAAGTCTGGGTTCTCGAGCAGTTCGAATTCAGACAGACGGATGGCGGCGCCGGAGCTGTCGGAGGAACCGAAGGAGAGGAAGAAAACTGAGTCTACGAGCATTTCGAGTTTAAACGGATTAACGGTGGCCCCGGAACTGTCGGGGAAACTGACGGTAGCATCGGTGAGCGAAGAAAAAGCGAAAGAGAGGAAGGCGATTGAATCCGGAAGCACTTCGGGTTCAGACGACGGATGGACGGTGTCTAAAGAGTGGAAGAAACTTTCGGAGAAAGCGAATGGGACTGAGTTCTCGAGCGGTTCGTATTCAAACGAATGTTTGGCGGCACGGGAGCAGTCGGAGAAACCGAAGGAGAGGAAGACGATTGAGTCTGGAAGCATTTCATCGAGTCCAGACGGCCGGACAGTGGGTGAAGAGTGGAAGAAGCTGTTGGAGAAAGCGAAAGATTGCGAGGTGACCGAGTCCGGGAGCTGTTTGAATCTAGAGCGGCCGTCGACGGAGAGATTGACTCTGTTGGAGAAAGCTTTTCAGTCGACGGAATTGAGCAGCTCCCCCTGTAGAGAGTTCGTGATCACTGCACAAGCCTTCAAAGAGATGTCGACTGATCCTGACGAAACTCTGGTCTTGGGAGATGACTGCCACAATAGTTTTATGGAAGTTTCCATTCTTGTTGCAGGTATGTATATGTCTCTCATTCTTAATTTTTCATGAAACTATATTTTCTTTTGATAAATATGAATAAATGTATATATTTTTTTGATAAATTTTCCAATACTTCTACCATAGCTGATGATATATATGGGAGTCTCAAAGATATCTTGCTCATAAGATACGGCTTTCCCAGAGACAAGGTTATTATAAGAGATAAGATTGATTCCCCAGAGTCGTTGACATTGGATTGGTCTAATGTCTGTCGGGCAAAACTTTCCTTTTGTCAATTGAAAGCAGAAATACAGACAAAATCTGTTCGACCTGTTCTGTTTGACTATGGTAAAATCCATGAAAATCATTGTTTGGATCTGGCAGGGAAATTTGTTTCACTGATTGGAATGGATATTGAGTTTCTGATTATAAATTATTTCGGAGGAACTCATGTTGTTGATACATTGAAGTTGCAGACAGGTCATTATGATCATGCGAGGCTTCAAAACTTGAGGTCTTTGCTAAAGAAAGAGGACTTTGGTTTTGCAGAAATAGAGGGATTGATTAATATGTTGGGAGGAGTCATGGAAATTTTAAGTTCCAACACTCCTCCACCGGATTTGGTTTCAGGTTTGAGAAATCTTGGGGAATCCTTTCAGACGATTGTTCAAATGTTACGCCAGCTTCATGAGAGAGTAACTCCGGATACTGGAATCACATTGTCAGTGAATTTGAAGGGTATTGAGGATACAAAAGCCGACTTTCAAACCTTTTGTTCGATGGTAAGGGATAAAGTTGCACAAGAAAAGGAAATGTTTGCTTGGGAGACAGGTTGTAAATCAAAATCAAATAAAATCTTCGACGCTCTGGTTGTCATGAGAAATTGGGTGTTCTACGCAGATGTTGAAACATACAGACTGGTTCTAGCTCTTCGATGCAAGATATCACTCCAACAATTAACATCTGCACTAAGGTCTTTGAAGGAAAGAAAACAAGAGATGCTACCCTTTGTTGTGTACTGGATACTTGCAATGCATTCGGTTGAGGAATCTGGAAATGGGATGAGATATTTGGATGAAATGATGAGTTCCAATATAACGAAATCCATCCTTCATGTTGTTTCAAAACTGGATACCATATTGAACGGTTTACGAATTCCAATTGCTAGCAGAGTAAGCTGGAAGAAATTGGTTGCTTGTGAGAAGACTTTGCAGAAGGTTGAGACAAAACTCAAAGAGATTGAGTCGAAGATGCATGCAGGAGGAGAAGCAACAGGAACCCTAATGCAGGTAAATGAAATTTTTAGTTCTTCCTCAAGAGTAATAGCTCC